ATAATTTTTATAGTTTTAAAATATTAATTTATTAATAATACTATTTCAAGTCAACTCAAGTCAAGTTGAGTTTGAGTCGAGTTTAAATTGAGTCGAGTTAAATATTTAACTAGACTCGAATTTGATTTGACTCGCAAATCATCGAGTCAAAAAAATATAAATTCGACTTGATTTAAACTCGACTCAGCTTTCTGACTCATGAGTTAACTCGACTCGTCCAGAACTCTATTGGAACCTTTGGTACAGATGTTAGATACTTTTATTTTGGGAAGTATGACATTTTTAGAACAATCTTTGATTTTGTGATGTGAAGAGAAGCAGATAACACATAATTTGACTTGGGTCTCAGTCTATTTTATGTGTTTACCATTGATGGTAAGATTGTTATTACTGATCGCTACTTTATAGTCATCAGTTGAAAGAAAAAAGAAAATAGAAAAACGCATGTTGTAGATTGTGATAATTAGATCTAGCTTTAAGAATGATCCATGCTGTTGCATTAACTATCAGACCCAAATCAGATAAATCTTTACCCATAGTATAATAAGGAAGACGTATAAGTTTGACTGAGAATTTAGATCATTTCAAGATTTTATCATATGATAGGTCACACATGTGGAAACGAACTATGTTATTGAGGAGGAAAACACTGTAACCTTTTTTTAAGTTCAACAAAATTTGTATCTGTATCGTATGTGATTGTGGCTAGTTGCCAGAGATTCTTCGTTTTCATATTGAATCTGACGATCTTACCAAATCAGAAGAAGATCTTTTTGATACGTAGTTCAGTAGCGTCCAATGGGATTTCAGTAATTTTGATCAATTGTTATGGAACAAACAGATGTTTTGGCACGATTTCAAGAAGTAAAAATGTGCAGTTTTCTAAATTAGGCACGATGACTTTATAAAACGCATCCCTTTCATCCTTATCAAAGAATGTCACTTTCAAAATTTTTTTTGATTGATCTTCTGGATGTTTAGCAAATACAACACCTGATAAAGAGTCAAATTGATCAAAAACGAGGTCAATGACGTTAGATATTTTCATTTGAGGAGATTTTCCAAGGTAGTCATCTACCGGGAAAAATGCAAAAAAATTCATTTTCTTTGTAGAAATTTCTTAAGGGTTTTTAGTTTTAGTTAAAAAATTTTCTGAGGTATCAGTAGCATTATCGACGTTCATGTGTGCTTGGTCAGGAATGATAACTAAAGTTGTTTCACCTGTTGAAACTTCTTTGCCTTTTCCTTTATCGAGTGAAAGAGGGTCGACGTCTATAATAACTGGAGTTTCTTTGTTGTTGTTATTGTTGAAGATACTACTTTTGAATTCAGTAATTTGTAAAGTATTTTGTCTTTTGCTTGGTTGTTACTCTGGAGTACTAGGGCGAAAGTGAGGTTGTTGTTTTAGTAAATTTTTATTGTTCTCTTTCTTTGGTCTGCCCATGTTAAAAAAATGTTATCATTTAAAAATTTTTTTTTTTTTTTTAAATGCGGTAGTTTCGCATAATCTTTATTAAATTCAAAGTATATGTAACAAAAGTAAAATATACAAATTTAAGAAAATACAAAAATTTCTATCTAAATAATATTCAAATCAAGACCGACCCTGCACTTTCCCAAAATCTATTTCTAACCTAAGCTAAAAATTTCATTTTCCAATAACAAACCTAATGAGAAAGAGTTCAGCCACTACGGCACTAAAAATTCATCCAGTGGGATCTGTAATAGACCATCTTGTTAATCGAGTCATCAGAAGATGAAAGGGATGTGAAACTTGTGATATTATATCCAGTTGCAGCAGTATTATCCTTTTTGAGTTTTAAGTTGATATTGTGAGAATTCTCAAATGCAATTTGTTGCGAACATCTGTCAATCCATATAGTTTGTGTTTGTTCAAAGAGGTAATGCATAAAGGCAGACAGCATTGCAAGGGTAAGATCTTTCGAATTCATAATGTCATAAACGAAGTTGTATAAAGATTGTAGAATCATTCCTTTAATGAGAGCAGGTAGGTAAGAGAGCTTTCTGTAGATAAATGTCATATCGTTAAAGTGGATAAGTCTCTAGCCACACCACTATTTTGAATGAGATCTAGCAGAAATTGTTGGGAGTCATGGATAATGCTCTTCATATGAATCCAAGTAATTGGGCATTTTCAGATGTAAGAGAAGGTTTCATCAGCGCATTCACATCTGACGCAAAGCCAAGTTGGATCATAGATGTTAAGGTGTCTTATTTTTAAAATTTCCATAGTGGGGAGCATTTTTAAGAGTCTTTGATTTTTTTCTTTCAGATAGCTGAAGCCTCATAAGATGTGTGTGCTGACGTAATGTCATTAATATAAAAACTAGTCACATACTAGTTAATATTCAAATGCTGATAAGATCCCATTACATAAAGACGTTGAAATCTATTATACATAGCGGATTGTATAACATGTTTCATAAAGAGTCGTATGAGGGTAGAGATATTGAGATTCTCATATTTGTAATAGTAATAGTCAATATTCGAAAAGTCAAACGCAAGCGCAGTGAAATTGAAAGAGGCTTTTGCGAGTTTATCAACTTTATCATTAAATGTGTTTCCTGAATGTGTTTTAACTTTGCGGAAACGTATATTAAGGTGGTGTTTGTTTATGATCTCAAATAAATTCAGCCAAGTTGAGAAATTATTGATCTTGAAGAGAGGTCTTGTGGATGGAAAAAGACTCGAAATTCTTTTAAAATTGTTGAATTGATTAATTACAACTTGTAAGTCAGTCAGAATAGTGATGTAATAGTTCTGTGGGTAACAATAATGGCAGTGAAGATCACTACAAGCTCTGCAAATAAAGAGGAAGGAAAGGTAGTAACAAGCGCTATTGAAAATGAGGCCATAGAAGAACCTGGATGCATTTGGAGCTAAGCCATTCTCGTTCTCATAGAAGGTAAACCCAGACCAGAGAGAGAACCGTCTATATAAAATTCTAAATATGAGGCAGTAAAAAACTGTTGTGAAAGGGTTAATAGATCCTATCTGTGTGATAATATAATAAACTTTGATATTAATGTAGAAGGTACAGGGTGGCGATAATTAGTAGTAGGTAATTGTAATTGTAAGACACCATTATATAAACGGTTAAATATGTGTAAAGCAATGTCTTTCATGAGTGGTAATAACTATACGCTGACATGTGATTTCCAGGTGTTCTTCAACAAAAGTTTCGTGCATAGGCTGAGAGGTAAGGTCACTAAACATTTAAATTTTTTGAGATCGGGAAAGTTGCTTTTCAGGAGTGTAGGCTTATTACATAGGCATCCATTACATTGTTGAAAAGAAATTTCACTGGAAGGAGTATATGTATGGTGAACAACTTCAATAAAGCTGCTGACTATTTTTAACACTTTATTTACTATTATAGTATGACCATAGGGTTCCCAATATATGATAAAAAAGCGGGCTACGATCTCTTGTTGTAGAGGTAATAATGGAAGTCTATAAGCGATGTTATGTTGATATCTGGCAGGCTCTGGTAAGGAGTTTAGTTCATCAACATTAAGCACGTTCCTAATTATCAGGTACTATTTAGGAGGAGGTCCTTTTCTAGGGATCGATGCAAGGTACTTTAAGTCCTGAGCTAAATATAGTGATTTATCATCTCTACTAACTAATTGTTCTATGAACATTAAGGAGTATTTGGATAGGGAGTAGGTAACTCTTCTGTATTCTTGTAGGATGACTGATTGTATGATAATAAAGCTACCTTGGATACGGTAAGTGAATTGAATCATACAACAGAAATCAAGTTCAAAATAAATAGAGGTATTAATTTTATAAATGTACAGTTTATACAATCAAAGCTCATTCCAATGTTTAAAGGTAATTCTATGATAAGTTAATATTATAATGTTTTAGGTCATATAAAAGTGCCGGGATCTAATTATTGAAATATTTGAAGAGTCTATATGGCCATTCAATTAGCAGAAAGACAGCTAACTATTCTTTAATTTGTAAGTGAAGCAGCCAGATGTGCATAGACAGATCTAGTAAACCAGTATCATTTAAAGAAGACAACAAAGCATCGCTGAGGGTTTACAGATGTCTGTGATATAGGTGAATAACTCTGTAAAAGAGATTTAAGTGAAGGAAACTAAATGGCGTGTCTCTTGATAACTAAAGCTTTTTCTTTAACATAGCTCTAAATGAACGTATTATACAATCCGCAGCTATTTCTGATAAATGAGACAGTTGAGTGTAATACTCTATACAGGATATGACGATAATGTTGAAGGTATATATAAGTTGTTTGTCAGTTAGTTTCTTCGTGAACAGAGTGGCAATCGTAAACTTGATATCTTAAATAGCTTGTTTAGTAATGAAGGTCTTGTTGCATTTTAAAGAGATCCAGACTCCTAAATATCTAACTGAGGATTTGGGACTAATAGCAGTTATTGTATGTATTTGGCTATTTCTGTGTGTTTGTAGGGTATGAATCTCCTTGGTGTTTGTTAAGAAATCAGACTTAGACCAGTTTACTTTAATGCTGTTGAGATCATAAAAACTATTAGCTATCTTGACGATTTGGGAGAGATTTTGTTTAGAATCAGCGATCCACAATGTGTTATCTATATATGCCAATATTGAGGTCTTGCATGAGATTTCGTTGAAGGTGCTTAGTCAAACGTTGGGTTTTCATTTTATCATCATGTTATAACCAAGATCAGAGCTCTGCATTCTATATAGAAGGGGATCATAATATATACACCATAGTAGTGAAGAAATAATTTCTCCTTGATCAATTTCTAAGAATACTTCATATGTGTCCGTAAGCCTATAAGCTGTAAGGACTTGGTTTTTTTTTGTACAAACATATTTAGTATGAAGTAAATAAAACCCTTGAGAAGCTTTAACTGTTTTAATGCTTTAACTAGCATAAAAATGTTAACGCGATCATAAGCTTTTGACATATCTTGCAAGAGGATCCATAACTCTTTATTGTTGTAAAAGGCGTTATTATTTATATTATCAAGAGTGTGCAGGGATTCAAAAGTGGAACGGAAGGGAAGACCTGCGAAGTTATATCCTTTAAGAATATTATATTGTACAAAAATCGTTAAAAGGCGTGTATTAAGAAGTTTGATTAGGGCTTTCCTTAGACATTCCAAAAGGATAATTGGTCTCGTATTATTGAGGTCAAATTTTTATGGTTTAGGTTTTAGAATAGGATATATATATACCAAATTCCATTTATGTGGAAGTGATGAAATCAACAAATAACCTCGTATAATGAGCCAGAAGATTTTCTTAGCAAGAGGCCCAGATGCTTTAGCAATTCATTTGAGATCTTGAACGGGTCAAGTGCTTTACCATCAGTAAGAGAATTAATGATAGAGTACTATTCTTCAGCTGAGAGGATGACATCAAATTGTTGTATATATCAGCATTAATTTCATTGATCGGGCTATATAATGGTAACCAATCTTCAGTGATGTTTTTAAGTTCATGGGTAGTGCTCACCACTCTTTGAAAGTATTCATTGACTGTTTGTTTTACCAATACTTCATCAGTGAGTAGTTCACTAGTATGTCGTGACAGACATTGATCTAGTACGATCATCTTTCTTGATCGATTTAAGGCTGAATCAAGCATTTTAGCAGGGTTATTGGTATATGTATCTAGACATTGTTCCAAGTGTTTTTGAATAGAAGCGAGTTTGTGTTCTTTCTCATGAAGTTTAGTCTTGTAAAATATGATGTTGATTAAAAGCATCGTATCAGAAAGGAGAAGATCAATAAAATAAAAGGGGTAGTTTGGGTGCAGATGTGTTATAATAAACTTAAGTGAATTGGTAATGTTACGATATTTGTTATATATCTGTGCCTAGTTCACTAGAAAGGACCTGTCTCGTTTTACTTTGAGAAGTAGTTTTTTGAATTTGTGTAAGATCTTTTGTTATAAATATAGTTTGTTGAGATCTGGCAGTCTAGGATACTTGAACAGCCCTGATGATTTTCTAATTGGTATACACTTGTCAACCGCCTTAATCAATAGGTCTTGAAAAAGATTCCAGTGCTTATTGAGGAGGTGCTGCATCCAGTATATATCATGATTAATTGTTTTAATAGTATTCCTATTTAATAGTGTATCGAATTTGGTCGCAAATTTATCCTATAGGTCATTATTCATTTTATTAAAGTCAAAATTGATTTTGACAGGTTTTTTCCATTTGTTGAACTTGATGTCTAGGAAATTCGTAATTGTGGTTACTGTAACATGGTGGTCTGAAATATTTTTCCTAGATGCAATTGTGTGACAGTCAATTATGTTAAGGGAAATGTCAGTTGATGACCATATATAGTCAATCCTAGAAAAGACTTGGCTTGAATGGTAAGTAGGAAATTATGTTCTATTTTGGTCATATTTAATCGTAAAGGTATCAAATAGCGACAATCTATAGAATTCGTCAAAAAGTTTAAGAGCGTTTGTAGGATTATGCATTCAGTTTATATTGGTATTAAAATCCCCTAAGACTATTATATGGAAGTCATTGATGATAGCTTCTTTGATCTATTTGGTTAGAATGATTTGGATTTCTGTTCGCATTTGAAGGTCAGCAGGTGATAGGTAACAGTTTATTATACAAAGTTTTTGCTTATTTGTGAATTGTAAATCCACATGAATAACTCAATCGAGTTTAGTATCATGTTTGAAAATATGCGAAGCAAATGATTTACTGAGTACGATGCCCACTTCAAATGCAGTTCTCTGTTTGGAGTCGAACTAAAAAATAATATGAATGGAGAATATGATGAGTTGAAAATTTTTTCATGTTGTGGTTTGAAGTTAGTTTCTTGTAGGCCAATAGCATCTAAATTGTATGAGGAATAAAGTGATAGAAGATGATGTTGTTTGGTTATGTTAGTAAAAGATCGAACGTTATGGGTTGTGAAGAAAAGTTTTAGAATATTGATAGAGGTCGTATTAGAAGAAATAGGTGATGGGTTTCTGTCAGAGCTAATATCTGTAGAGACAGTAATCATGATTTAGTATATTAAAATTGGGAGAGACTCTCAAGAGCCTTTTCTGCTTCTGTGTCATAAGCGGTGTTGAGTGAATATGACATTGATGTTTTGTCAATTTGGAGTAAATCATTGTGAATTAGTACAGCATGGAAGGTGTTACAAGTGCTGATTAAGGTGTTGATAGTTTCTGTAAAATTCTTAAGGCGCAAATTCTGGGCGTCCATGATTTCCTTGAGGCAGCGATAGTATTTCTTTGTTTGTTGATGATAGAGGTGGAGGTATCAATCACTAGGCCAGCTCCATATTCTTCAATATCATAGTCCTCCATTGTTTCTTCATCAGAGAAACTGACTTTAATGCTAAGCGTTTGTTCGATTATCTCCATTCTTTTCATAGTAGTACCTAGAGTAATTGTAAGATTGTCCAATTTTTGTGAGAGTTGTAAGAAGCTAGATCTGATAAAAGTTTTAAAATCAGCATCAGGGTCGTTCTCATGTATTGAGCCTCCTACTTTTGTTTCTACAGAGATATCACGTGATTTGGGTTGTTGGGATTGTCTGATATGGTGATCCATATTCAGAGGGATGTTATCGCTCCATATTGAAACTGAATAGACCGGTTGTTTTGGCTGACTATTGTGAATGTCTTTAGGTCTAAAACATAAGGTTGGGGGTTTGTTGCTCATTGTGGGCTGTTTAGGTGGGTCATCTTTAACGATATTAGCGAATGTGATGTTTGGACTAATAGCTCTTTTACAGGGACGAATCAGGGCTTTGTAGTTAGTGTATTATGCCAGTTGAAACCTCTGATATAAAATTTGAGTGCTTTTGTCTTGGGGTATGACATTTTTTTGGACAGTCTTTGATCTTGTGATATGATGAAGAACAGATGGCACATAATTTTACTTGGGTCTCAGTCCATTCAACATGTTTACCGTTGATGGTGAGATTATTATTGCTGATAGCTGCTTCGTAGTCATCAGCTGAAGAGAAATAGAAGAACGCGTGTTGTAAATTGTGGTAATTAGATCTGGCTTTAAGAATGTTCCAGGCTATTGCATTGACTATAAGACCCAAATCAGATAATTCTTTACCTATAATATATCGAGAGAGACAGGTGAGTTTGGCTGAAAATTTGGATCATTCTAGAATTTTATCACGTGGCAGATTACACATGTGAAAATGAACCATGTCGTTAAGTAAGAATACACCGTAGCCTTTTTTAAGTTCAATAAAGTTTGCTTTAGCATCGTAGGTAATCGTAGCCTGTTGCTAAAGATTTTTTGTTTCCATATTGAATCTAACAATCTTGCCAAATTGGGAGAAAATCTTTTTTATGTGTAATTCTGTAGCGTCCAATGGAATTTCTGTAACTTTAATCGATTGTTGTGGAATAAAGGGATGTTTTAGTACAAACTCGAGGGGTATAAACGTGCATTTTTCTATATTAGGCAAGTTAACTCTACAAAATGCGTCCCTTTCATCTTTGTCAGAAAAAGTCACTTTTAAGATTTTCTTAGATTGGTCCTCTAGATGTTTAGCAAACACTACACCTGAAAAGGAGTTAAACTGATCAAAAATAAGGTCAGTGACGTCAGATATTTTGGTTTAAGGGGATTTTCCAGGGTAGTCGTCCGCTGGAAAAAATGCGAAAAAATTCATTTTTTTTATAGAAATTTCTTGAAGGCTTTTTTTTGTCAAAAAATCTTCTGAAGCGTCGTTAGCATCATTGACATTCATAGGGTTTGATTGGTGATAATAACTACAGCAGTTTCACTTGTTAAGGTTTCTTTGCCCTTTCCTTTATCGAGCGGAAGAGGGTCAACGTCCATAGTAACAAGAGTTTCTTTATTGTTAGTGTTAGTGGAAACACTACTTTCGGATTCAGTAGTTTGTAGAGTATTTTGTCTTTTATTTAGTTGTTGCTCTGAAGTGCTAGAGCGAGAGTGAGGTTGTTATTTTGGTAAATTTTTATTGTTCTCTTTCTTTGGTCTACTCATATTGCGGAAAGAGTTTTGTTATCATTTAAAAAATAAAAAATAAAAAAAAAACAAAAAACAAGCTATTTTTAGACTATTAGGTATAATGTAAACAGATCACATGATTTAATAATATACAAAAATACGTAAACAATCAAAAAGCATAAAGCAAAAGATGCAATAATAAAGTATTTTTTTGCATACATTTTATGAAATTCAAAGTGAATTTTACTCTTAATAAAA